ACATCCCCATTGTGGGGAGGTCGAAGTGCACGGGCTGGTAAATGTTCAATGACAGCACCTTCCCCCTGAGGGTCTGAAAAGTCCCAGGCATTAACCACTAGTCCCCTCTCCCTCCCAGAGACAGGGATAGAACCCAGGAGTCCAGGCTCCCGGCTCCCCCCCCCCCACTCTAACTACTAGTCCCCACTCCCTCCCAGAGACAGGGATGGAACCCAGGAGTCCAGGCTCCCAGCCCACCCGCTGTAACCACTAGTCCCCTCTCCCTCCCAGAGACAGGGATGGAACCCAGGAGTCCAGGCTCCCAGCCCACCTGCTGTAACCACTAGTCCCCTCTCCCTCCCAGAGACAGGGATGGAACCCAGGAGTCCAGGCTCCCAGCCCCCCCGCTCTAACCATTAGTCCCCACTCCCTCCCAGAGACAGGGATGGAACCCAAAAGTCCTGGCTCCCTGCCCGCCCGCTCCCCTCCCCCCCCAGGCATCTCCTAGTTCTGCAGCATGTGGCCAGTGGTGATGCACTGCGCCTTTGCTGGCTGGGTTATCTCACAATATTTTTGCCTCCAGGGACTCACCCAGGACACAAACTCCTTCTTCATGTGCCGGAAGCTGCGGTCGCTGGGAGTGAAAGTTGCCAGAATCTCCGTGGTCCCCGATGACGTCGATACTATCGCCACGGAGATCTCCTCCTTCTCAGCCAAGTTCACCTATGTGCTGACATCAGGGGGCATCGGCCCCACCCACGATGATGTGACCTTTGAGGCGGTGGCCAAAGCCTTCGGGGAGCAGGTTTGCCCCCACCCAGAGCTGGTCGCCCTGGTACACAGGTTCTTTGGCAAGACGGACGTGCATTGCCCCCAGATGAAGCTGGCGCACGTCCCTGAGTCCTCGCTGCTCAACTACGGCACGGACAAGAGGACGGGCGATGCCATGAAATACCCCCTTGTCAGCGTGCGCAATGTCTACGTCTTCCCGGGCATCCCGGTGCTGATGGAGCGGGCGCTGGAGGGGCTCAGCCACCTCTTCCACAACGAGCAGACCCGCTTCCACTCCCGGGAGATCTACGTCAGCGCCGACGAGACGCTCCTGGCACCCATTCTCAACCAGGCCAATGCCCACTTTGGGTGCCACACGCACCTGGGCTCCTACCCTGACTGGGTCAACAACTACTACCGCGTGAGGCTGACCCTGGACTCGGAGTCTGAGCAGCACCTGGAGGAAGCCTACAGCTTCCTGATGCAGAACCTGCCCCCTGCGCTGGTCGTGCCCCTGGTGACAGACCCTGTGGCGCGGGCAGCTACGGACGTGTATGCCCTGGCTGAGTCTGGTATGGCCTGGCTGGAGTAGCTACAAGGGCGTGTGGCTCTGGGGCTTGGTCCTGCTGCATATAATAGGGGCAACCGAAGCACCAGGCTCCCTCATGGTGCTTCCCACCCATCTGCCTGAGCCCGGACCTGCAGGGAACAGTTTGAAGGGGGGGTTCAGTCAGACCTGGGCCTCTGTGGAGGCTGCCAGCCCTGGTGGGTTCGGATGTGAGCACCCGTCCGGCTCCAGGCTGGCCCCTAGCCCGTTGTGCACAGGCCAGCAGTCACCATGGAATCACAGCTGGTCGTGACTGAGCTGGGCTGGCGTGGAGAGGGAGCTGCCTGGGCATATGGTCACAGCATTGACCTGGGATCTGGGTTCAAATCCCAGCTCTGCCACTGACTCGGTGTGACATGGGCCACTCACTGCCTCTCCCTTCCCTGGGTCCCTGTCGATAAAACCAGCCGCTCCGTTCAGCCTGGGAGCTCTTTGGACAGGGACTGTCTCTCTCTGTGTCCATGCAGTAGGTGAGGCCTGTAGGCATAGCTGTAATGTGCTGCTAATGAGGGTGGAGAAGGTCTCTGGAGCCTCCATGTCCTTGGGGATCAGGCAGGCCTCGTCAATGCCAGTCTAGCGAGAGCAGCCGTGCCCTCCCAGTGTGGCAGCATTGGCAGAACTCTGCTTAGGGTGGCATAGATTGTGCCGGTTCCCCACACCGGCACGGTTCTGCCAGTATAAATGCGTCTGCGAGGGCTCGTGCCAGCAGAGCTGCGTTGGTGAAATGTCCCCAGCGCTGACAGAGCGGGGCAGGGTCACCTGCCAGCGCCGTGTGGGCCTTCAGATTAGGCCTCTTCCTCCCAGCACGGCTGTGCTGCACAGGCCAGGCTCGAGGCTGATGGGGATGGAGCTGAAGGATGGTTTTGCTAAGGCTGTTCAGACCCCCCACCCCAAAGCCAGGCTTCCGGGGTCCCTTTTCACATAGCGCTGAGGGACGCCTGGTGGGTATCAGACGTGATGGGGAGCGGGGGAGCGCTCGCAGCTGCCTGGCCAGGAGTGTAACCAGCAACCTCTCAGATGGGGCAGCCCCAGGCTTTGAGAGGCTGGGACCTACCCTGCTGGCTGCTGCACCTGCCTCATCCCTGAGCGAGACTCCGTGCAGCAGGTGGGGAAGGGGGGGCGGGAGGCTCCGACCTGCACCAAGCCCAGTCCCCCCTCGAGATCCCGCCGCCTGGGTCCTCGCCGACTCCTCTCCTCTGCGGCAGGTTCCGCCCTGGGCCAGAAGGTGGCAGCAGCGCTCCGGACCATCGACGAGGCCTTGGATCGGTTCAGCCTGGCCCAGATCTGCGTGGGTTTCAACGGGGGCAAGGACTGCACAGCCCTGCTGCACCTGTTCCACGCCGCCGTGCAGAGGTACCCGCTGCTTCCCCTACCCCGCCCAGGCAGGGCCCGGCCTGCATCAGAGCCCCCAGCGGGCGGGCTGGCCTGGGCATGGCGCTCAAAGGACGTGGGGTCTAGGGAGTTAGAGCAGTGGGGTGGGAGTCAGGACTCCTGGGTTCTATTCCCAGCTCTAGGAGGGGAGTGGGGGCTACTGGGGAGCGTCATAGAAATGTGGGGCAGGAAGGGACCCCACAAAGTTATCAAGTCCAGCCCCCTGCGCTGAGGCAGGGCCAAGTCAAGCTAGACCGTCTCTGACCGGGATTTGTCCAACTTTCTGAAACTTCTGCCATGGTGGAGAGTCCGCTGCCTCCTGCTCCAGAGTGTAACTTGTCTTCGAGTCAGAAAGATTTTCCATCGCTGCTTGTCCTGCCTCGGGTGGAGGTGGAGTACAATTGACTCCCATCTCTATAGCAGCCTCCACAGATCTGCAGACTGTTCTCAGGTCCCCCCTCAGTCGTCTTTTCTCAAGACTGAACATGCCCCGTTTTTGAGCCTTTCCTCCCAGGTCCCGTTTTCTAAACCTTCAATCAGTTTTGTGGCTCTCCTCTGGGCCCTCCAGTTTCTCCCCATCTTCCTTAAAGGCCTGGCCTCCTTCAGCCCCGCACATCCCAGTCTCCCTGCATCCAGGTGGGCTCTGCCTGCTCCCCCTCTCCAGCCCCGAGCCCCCCTGCTTCACAGCTGGGCATCTGATACCCCCGGCCCCAAGCCCCCTTTGTCCATTGTCTTCTCTCCAGGTAAACAGGGTCGTAAACAGGGTCGCCTGGGCCTCCTCTCCCCTCTTCTGTCCTCTGGCCCATCTGGCTGGAACCGGCTGGTCAGATCACCGGGGTCCTCTCCCCGCAGCCCATTGTCCTCCCACTGGCCAGAACCAGCTGCAACTCCTGAGCTGGGTCTCTGGGTCGTCACTGGGGTCTCCATCCTCCAGGCCATCGGCTGGGGTCCCAAGTTCCCTCTCCGGTCCTGTGTCCCAACGAACTCCCTCTCCCCTCACCTCGTTAAACCAGTAACACTCAGGGACACTGAGTCCCACTCCCTCTGCATGCAAACCATTGGAAAAAACAAGAAAATCCCCCACTCCGTCACATAGTGCAGTACCCAGAACTGGGCACAGGACAGCTGGGGCCTCAGCAGTGCCGAGCAGAGCGCGACACTTCCACACAACACTCCCAGGAATCTGCCCTAGTAGTGGACTGTTTTTGCGGCTGCATCGCTTTGTTGACTCCTATTGAGTTTGTGGTCCGCTGTAAGCCCCAGACCCTATCCAGCAGTGCGACCCCCCCGGCTAGTGCCCGTTCGTAGCTGTGCATTTGGTTTTCCCTTCCTAACTGTCGTGCTTTGCACTCGTCTTTTCTGAATTTCATCGTGTTGATTTCAGATTCATTCTCCAATTTTGTCGAGCTCATTGTGCACTCTCATCCCGTCCTCCCACATGCTTGCAACCCCTCCCAGCTTGGTGTCCTCCACATCTTTTATAAGCGTGTGCTCCGCTCCATTATCCCAGCCAGCAATGAACATACTGAGCGGTACCAGAGCCAGGCCCGACCCCTGCAGGATCCCACCAGATCCGCCCTCCTACTCTGACAGTGAGTCACTGCTCACTACTGTCTGAAGACAGCCTTTGAGCCCGTTGTACACCACCTTATAGTCCTTTCGTCTAGACCCTGCTTGTGAGAATGTCATGTGGGACTGTGTCAAAAGCCTCACTAAACTCAAGATCTCTCACATGACCTGCTTCCCCCATCCCTATCAGAGCGGGAAATTGGGCTGGCTTGGCATGACTTGTTCGTGACAGATCCATGCTGGCTGTTCCTTATCGCCCTAGTCTCCTCTGGGTGCTCACAAGTCGATAGTTTAATAGCATGTTCCAGGGCCTGAAGTTGGTCTGACTGGTGTATAATTCCCCGGACTCCTGGGTTCTGTCCCAGCTCTGTCACTGACTCACTGCATGGCCCTGCACAGGCCAGGCCAGGCGGCTGGGGACGGTGAGTCATGGTGACGGATGTCTCTCTCTCCAGGCGATTCCCACAGCGGGAGGAGAAGCTGCAGGTGCTCTACATTCGCATCGTGTCCCCCTTCCCCGAGATGGAGCAGTTCATTCAGGCTACCACCCAGAGGTAAGAGGGGGCTGTTTTTCCAGGTAGCTCCCCACCTCCCTGCAGTGGAACAGCCCAGGCAGGCTGGGCTTCAGAGGCCCCTGGCACTTGCAGGCTGGTGAGCCTAACTTCAATACCACAGCAGCAGAGAGCAGAATGATCAGACCAGAGCTGAACGGGACAGGTTGGGGAAAAGTCAACACGGCTTTTGTGAAGGGAAATCATGCCTCACCACTCTATTGGAATTCTTTGAGGGATCAACAACCATATGGACAAGGGTGATCTAGCTGATATAATGAACTTGGACTTTCAGAAAGCCTTTGACAAGGTCCTCGCCAAAGGCTCTTAAGCAAAACACACAGTCATGAGATAAAAAAGGTCTGATCAGTAACTGGTTAAAAGATAGGAAATAAAGGGTAGGAATAAATGGTCAGTTTTCACAGTGGACAGAGGTAAATAGCAGGGTTCTCCAAGGATCTGTACTGGGACCAGTGCTGGTCAACATACTCATAAATGATCTGGAAAAAGGGGGTAAACGGTGAGGTAGCCAAGTTTGCAGATGATACTAAATTACTGGAGATCGTTAGGTCAAACAAGTTACAAAGGGATCTCACAACTGGGTGACATAGTAACAAAATGGCAGATGAAATTCCATGTTGACAAATGCAAAGTGATGCACACTGGAAAACATCATCCCAACTCTGCATACACAGTGATGGGATGTAAACTAGCTGTTACCACTCAAGAGAGATCTTGGAGTCATTGTGGGTAGTGCTCTGAAAACACCCACTCAGTGTGCAGTGTTGGGAATCCCCCGTGCTCTGGGTGTCCCTAAACCTCTGACTGCCAAAAGCTGGGACTGGAGACGGGGGGTGGATCACTGGCTACTTGCCCTGTTCTGTTCATTCCCAGCGAAGCATCAGGCACAAGCCACTGTCAAGAGACAGAACACTAGGCTAGAGGGCCCATTGCTCAGACCCAGTCTGGCCGTTCATACCTTCTTATGAACCAACCAGTTCATTGGGGTGGGGGCCTTGACATCCCCTCGGGGTTTCCCCACCCTTCAATGTTGTGTCCTCTGCTGCGCTTTCTGCGTGCCAGGTACGACCTCCACCTCTGCGCAGTGCAGGGCCGCATCCAGCAGGCACTGGCAGACCTGAAGGCCCAGCACCCCCAGCTGCAGGCCGTGCTGATGGGGACGAGGAGGACTGACCCCTACTCCCGCACTCTGACGCCCATGTGTATGACCGACGCCGGCTGGCCCGAGTACATGCGGGTGAACCCCCTGCTGGTGCGTCATGGCGCTAGGGCTGCTACTAGTGGGGCAGAGAAGTGCGGTTTGAATACAGGGCGGGGAGCCAGGACTCCTGGGTTCTATCCTAGCTCTGGGAGGGCAGTTAGCTCTAGTGGGTTATAGCAGGGGGGCTGGGAATCTGGTCTAAGGGATGAGACCTTAGTCCCCCCTCTCCTGTCCGGCACTTCCTCCTACCCCACCTCTCCCCTCCCCACGGCATCCCTCCTGCCTCCCCTGGGCAGCACTGCCTCCACCCCCCCTCAGACTCTAACCCCTGTGGGTTGTCTCAGGCCCTTCCCAGCAGCGATCCAGTCCCAAGCTAGTTCTCCGGATGGATCTTTCAGACAAACCCCAAAAAACCTGGGCTAGGAGTTAAAGCTACTGTGTGCCCATGTCCGTGCCCCGTGGCTCCCTGCCCCGCTGTGTGCCCGCGTCCGTGGCTCCCTGCCCTGCCTTGTGCCCACGTCCGCGCCCTGTAGCTCCCTCCCCCGCCGTGTGCCCGCGTCCGCGGCTCCCTGTCCTGCTGTGTGTGCCCGCGTCCGTGCCCCGTGGCTCCCTGTCCCGCTGTGTGTGCCCGGGTCCACGCCCCGTGGCTCCCTGTCCTGCCGTGTGCCCGGGCCCACGCCCCGTAGCTCCCTGTCCTGCTGTGTGCCTGCGTCTGCCCCCCGTGGCTCCCTGTCCTGCTGTGTGCCTGGGTCCGGGCCCCGTGGCTCCCTGTCCCGCCGTGTGTCCGGGTCCAGGCCCCGTGGCTCCCTGCTCTCCTGTGTTCCAAGTCTGGGCCCCGTGGCTCCCTACCCAACTTTGCAGTGCCCTGTTGTTTCACCCCCCACCCCAGCTGGCCATGCTGAGGGGATGGTCGGTGTGTCCGAGAGGGAAGGCGTTGGGGGGACAGTGACAGTCCCAGTGCCTTTGAGGAAGGGATGCCAGTGGCTTGGAGCAGGGACTGGCTGAGCCCCACACAGCCCGCCCCCCCACTGGGCTCACAGCCAGCTGGCCTCAAATGAGGGGAGGGGGAGCCAAGCGCCCAGGGCTCCGCACGGCTGCTGCAGTGACCTCTGCTCTGCCTCCAGGACTGGACGTACCGGGACATCTGGCAGTTCCTGCGCACGCTCTTCGTCCCGTACTGCATCCTGTATGACAAGGGGTAAGAGCCCAGCTCGGGGGGCGCTGTGCCTCCCCCCCGCCAACCCTGTCACTGCCCCCCGAGCCCTTGTCCAGAAGGACCGGCTGGGCTGGGCTCCATGGCCCGGGGGGTGGGCAGCTGGGGGTCCGTGTCAGTTGGGTGTTGCCCAGGATGTGGAGGGGCGGAGTGAGGGCTGGGCAGTGTGGGAGGGGAGCTGAGGAGGGGGCAGGAGGGGGCAGCATGGTGCATGAGGGCAGATGCCTGGCCAGACTCGCCCCCATCCAGGATTGTGCAGGGGCTTTCTAGCACAGAAGGAGGCGCTGGGCAACGCCTGGCATCTGGGACCCCTTGTGCCCCCGCCCTGCTCACAGCCCCCCTCCCCCGTTGCAGCTACACCTCCCTGGGGAGCATGAGCAACACGCAGAAGAACCCGGCGCTGCGCTCCGCCAACGCGCTGGGCCAGGAGAGCTACCGACCGGCCTACCTGCTGGAGAACGAGGAGGAGGAGCGCACCTCGCGCCAGTGAGGCCCTGCCAGGCGGGCCCCGGCCACAAGAACCCTCCACTCGGCGGCGAACTGGACTGAGCGTGGGCTGCTCCCCCGGGACACCCACCCGCGGCCTGGGGTCCTGCCTCCCAGACACCTGGAGCAGCCGTGTGCCCCCCGCCCACTGGGCACTGCTGACTGGGGCATGCGGAGGGAGGGCCTGGGGGCCCTATGAATAAACCCGCTGCGCTCAGCCTCCTGCCTGCGTCTCCTGTCAGCGCCGGCTCCCGGTAGGCTCAGAGCGTGGCCCCCACGCTGTGGGTCAGTGGGTACCTGGCAGTCCGGCCTGAGGAGGGCGGAGGACTCTGGGAGATGGGATGTGCAGGGAATGTGACCCCTCCCTGGGCCCATTGGCAGGGTGCCCCCGACCAGTGCTGCCTGGTCTCTGGCAGCCTCCGCCCCTGGTATCACATCTCCCCATCCGCACTCTCCCTGGGTGAGCGCCAGGCCTCGGCTGCCAGTGCCCATCTCCCTGGTGCCACCTGGCTGGGGCCCCATGCCCTGCCCAAGGGGGGGTCCCCTAGGGAGGCTGCCCCCCTTTTCCAGCAGGTTCAGTCTGGTTGGAGGCCAGGCCCGGCGGGGGCGGGAGCGAGCAGACCTGCTCAGGCAGCGAAATGCCCAGGCCTGGCGCAGGCAGCAGCCCCTCCCCCACCCCGCCCGGGGCCCTATTCATGCAGCCCTTTGAGCTGCAAAGAATCCAGCAGCTTCCAGCCTCTGCACAAGGGGCTGGGCTGGGTCACGCGGCTCTCCCCTGCCCGCGGCAGGGCCCAGACCCGGCTCATCCCCGCACGATGCATCTCCTGGGCAGACGCCTGGCCTGGCAGCCCCGGTCCCTGACCCGCTACCCCCTGGCGCAGCTGGCCCCGTACCCCCTGCGACGGGCGGTTCGGGGCATGGTGCTGCCGGGGCCCCTCCCCAAGGGTCCTGTGGGGCTGAATCTCAGCTACTGGCTGCTGGACGTCCTGCGGGAGTGCGCCTACGTCCTGCTATGCTGCTGGTGCATCAAGGAACTGCTGGACTAGCCCCTCGCCCCCTCGTGTGCCGTGCTGCCGTGTGCTTGTCCTCCCAGCCCCCCTGCCCCTCCGCAGGGCTGGACCCACTGGCTGCACTCTGTGATCGCCTGACCCCTTGCTGCGGGGGGCCTGGAGCAGACGGAGCTCCCACCAGAGGGACCCTTTGGGACGCCCTGAGCCTGTAGGAGGTGGGTACGAACGTCCCCCGGCCTTGGCACTGCCCCCTGCCTAGCCAGCCCAGCGCTGGTCAGAGTGGGGCCAGGATCCACCAGCCAGGCCGGGGCGTCTCTACCCCCAGCAGGCAAATCCACAAGTGTCTCCCCCAGCGCCCTTGTCTGCGGCTAGTGACGGTCAACAGGTGAATGGGTCGGGCTGGCACGGCCACCCCAGGGCCACGCAGTTCAGAGCCATCGCGTGGGGCTCCAAGGGCACCTTCCTTCCTTCCCAAATACCAGCGTGCGGCAGCCTGGCTCCCCCTCCGCCAGCAGGGCCTGGCACCTGACCTGGCCTGAGCGCCTCTTTCCCACGATGCCACAGGGGGCTGAGTGGGCTCGGCTCAGCCCCCTGGGCTGTGGGGCCCAGTGATGGAGGTGGCACCTGGACTCCAGGCTGGGGGATGGTCTGTGTCCTCTACTCAGCAGGGTCCCCAGGCAGTGGGAGGTGCTGTCTCACGGGGTGGGGACGGGCTCTTTCCCCCCAGGTCTGTGGGCTCCAGGCTGCGTCCGAGCCACGGCTACTGGCTTTGTTTTCTCCCCTCTAGCTGGAATCCCGGCTCGCCAGCCCCAACGGGACGGGAATGGGACTTGACGGTGGATGCCTGGCCCCCGGCCCAGCGCTCCCCAATAAACCTGAGCAACGCGTGACCGCTCCGAGTGCTGACTGTGTGCGCCTCTGACTGGGGCTGGGCCCCAGGTGGCTCCATCCGCCTGCTTCAGCTGCCCTGACACCAGGCCCAATGCACCTTCCAAACATCTATCCCGCCTGGGCCTGGGAGCTGGTGGGGGGAAGGGGGGCAGGGCCCACGGCGGCCAAGTCTCTGGGCCGAGTTTCCTGCAAAGCTCCTGCTGTTTATCCAACTTTTCCTTCCTGTGTTTGGGACATTATCAGCATGGTCCCAGCCCCTCCCCCAGCCAGCCCCCGCTTGGGCGGGCAGGGGTCCCTCGCCCAGCACACTGGGACGCCGCTCAAAGTGAAGCTGGCATGGGCAGGAAACGAGGAATGACCCAGGATGGGGGCTCTGCACAGCTCACGGGGGGCCAAATGCCCTGGGCCAGGACCTGGCTCGACCCCCAGAGGGAGCGTCTGTCCCCCCTCTGCCATGGAGCCCCGGCGCTGGGCAGGGGATGGGCCCCTGGGGCTGAGCACCAGGATGCCGGGGTTCTTGTGCCAGCCCAGGGGTACTACAACTGGCATCGGAACCCCCCACTGCCTCCCGCAGCACCGGGGACCCCTGGGCGGGCTCGGGCATGGCCGTGCTGTAGCACCTTTGGCTGAGGGTCCCAGGAGTCCTGGTTCCCAGGCTACCCCTGGTCTAACTGCTAGCCCCTATGCTCTTCCCAGACACAGGGATAGAACCCAGGAGTCCTGGCTCCCAGCCCCCACTGCTCTCACCACTAGCCCCTGCTGCCAGTCCTCCCCTCCACTCCGTTTATCTGGCTGTGACTCAGTTCCTTGTTTAGAGAGCTGCTTTCTCGGCCTGTCTCCACTCCAGGCTGTTTCCTGTCGCCTGCCCCCCAAAGATCCCGCCCGCGGCTCTGCCAAGAGCCGGGGGAAGCTGCAGAGGCGGGAATGCACCCAGCGGGCCAGACTGGCTGGAGCTCCGGCAAAGGTCACAGACCGACCGGCCACTGACCGGCAGCTTGGCGTGCACCAGGCCCTGCAGGGCCTCCCCGGCCCGGGGCATCCCAGCCTGGGCCTGGCAGTGCAGGCACCTGGGGGGAGCCCAGGGGGAAGGCTGGGGGTGGGGCATGGGTCCCCCCAGAGACCCTGGCTGCGCCATGCCGCCCGCCCCGGCAGAAGGGCTGCCCCTGGCACTGTCCCGGCACCGGCGGGGACCCGCTGTGCGGCGGCTCCGCGGGACCTGGGCCCGGAGCAGAGTTGAGTGGCTGGCGCCAGCGCAGTCTCCCTTATCTCAGTGGGAAGTTGGGAGCAGGAAGCCCGGCTGAGAGTGGGATAAGGGCCCGTTTACATTAACCGCCTTTCCATGGAATCTGCTCCCACCCTCTTAAAGGGGCAACCCCCCAGCGTCAGCCTCGGGGAGCCCCCTCCCCACAGCCTGAGCCAGGGCCCTGGGCACAGAGCTGGGGGGCGAGGGGGAGCAGAGAGGGGGTCGGCAGAGGTGGTATGGGGGTAACAGCGGGGCCGGCAGAGCGGGCCGATGGGCGTGGGGCCGGCAGAGGTGGTATGGGGGTAACAGCGGGGCGGGCCAACGGGCGTGGGGCCGGCAGAGGTGGTATGGGGGTAGTGGCGGGGTGGGCCGACGGGCGTGGGGCTGGCAGAGGTGGTATGGGGGTAGCGGCGGGGCGGGCCGACAGGCATGGGGTTGCTTCTCAGGCCGGTAGCCTCGGTGCCTTTGTGTGGCTGTGTGGGAGCCCAGACTGTGGGATTGGAGGCCTGGAGCCCGTCTCACCCCAGTGCCCTGCCAGGGCCCCGCACCCCCGAACCACGGGGGACCCAGGGGTGTGACAGCAAAACCGGACGACCCAGAGGAGACACCAAGATGGCCCCACGCTACAGAGCCCCTTGGTGCCCCACAGAGCCCCCCGCCCAGCACTGCCGAGTCTGCCTGCCCCACAACACAGAGCCTCCCCCACAGGGCAGGGCAGACTCCGGCTTGAGGGGAAACGGGGGGAGCCGACCCCAAGGCAGCATGTGACCCCCCATCCTGCTGGCCCCTCTGGCCAATTAACGCCGTGAATCAAACCAAAGATGGGGGTCTCCGTGTGAAAGGGGGAGGGGTGCTGTGAGCCCCGGGGTGAGCTGGTTGGGGTGAGGGTCCTGGTGCCTGCCCAGCTCCCGGCCCCTTGCCGCACTTTGCCGCCATCCGTCTGCTGTCTCTGGGGGCAGGGGCTGCTCCGGGCACCGTGTTTCGGGCCTTGTTCCCCTCTCAGAGCTTGCCCCTGCCCAGGGCTAGGCCCCTCCGGGGCTCCCCCTCAGCCCGCACCCCCCGGTCTGGGGATCTGCCCCCCTGGGGTTCCCCTCAGCCCATGCTCTCCCCTGCCTGGGGCTCTGCCCACCTGGGGCTCCCCCTCACCCCACGCTCCCCCCTGCCCGGGGGTCTGCCCCCCAGGTCCGCCTCAGCCCCCATCCCCACTGTCCAGGTTCTGGCCCCCCGGCCCCCCTTCAAACCCTCCTGCCTGGGGCTCTGCTCCCTGGGCTCCCCCTCACCCCGGGCTCCCCCCTGCCTGGGGCTCTGCCCCCCCAGGCTCCCCCTCCCCCCCAGCCCGGGGTTCCCTATTGCATTGTTTTCACTGAGCTCAGCTTCCCTCCGTGCAGCCCAGCCAAGGCGTCTGGGAAGCCTCTAATCAATTGATTCCCCCGGCTGGGAGGGCCGTGGGAGGGGAGCCGCCTGCAGGAAAAAGCCCTGGCCGCTGAGTGCGCCAGGCAGAAGTGTGCCAGCCGCCCGGAGAGCAGGGCCCCTCCACTGAGACCCAGCGCCAGGCACCGCGCCCGCCTGCTGTCCCACAGTGAGTGAGCCGCCCGCCCCACGGGCACCATCCCCTCCCCGCTTAGCCTCTTGCTGTGACACCCCAGCTCTGCCAATGGCCCCCAGCTGCCTTGCCTGGCACCTGGCGTATGCGTGTCACTGTATGCATGCGTGTTTGTGAGCATGTGCTCTGTGTGCGTGTCAGTGTGACTGTGTATGGCACAGGGGTTGCAGGAGTGTTTGAGCACTGTGCTGTGTGCGACTGCATGTTCACATATGTCAGGGTGTGTGCGTGCGCCAGGCGGTACATGTGTTAGGGTGTGTGCGCGTGTGTGTGTGCATGCCGGGAGGCATGTGTGTCAGGACGTGTGTGTGTGTGTGCCAGGCACTACGTGTGTCAGGGCATATGTGTGTGTGTGTGTGCACGCCAGGCACTGCGTGTGTCAGGGAATGTGTGTGTGTGTGTGCGTGCCAGGCATGGTACGTGTGTCAGGACATGTGTGTGTCAGGATGTGTGTG